CAGGACACGGATAGGTATTTAATTAGGAATGCTGTCCCTTTAAGACGGAAGGCATGCATGTAATACTGACACGTTCAGTTTTCACCCACCCTGTTTACGTTCATTTAATCCATAACCGACTGTATTTACGTGAGATACTCTACACGATAGACATTTGGACTGCTGTGTGTGTATTTGAGCACTGAGAACTGATCGAGAGAGCACATCTATCAGCGCGATTCCACCTATCCCGCCTTCACTAACTTTAAGTTTATTTGACAACGAATTGTGACTCCCGGGAAAAACGGGACGTCTGGTCATCTTATCCATACCCTTTCGGGTGCTAAGCCCATTGTTTCAGATCGCTAGTTCGCATTTTGGTAGTCTATCCATCCACTGCGCCTGCCATACTGAGACTAGATCACAGTCTACAAACTAGATATGCGAACGCCCCTTATCCGATTGCAATCCAATGACAGGGACGCACATTTTTAAGGACAAGACAGTAGTCTATAGGATGTATTTTGAATGTCCAGTAGTTCTCAAATAACATTATAGTCCCGTCTCGTCTTGTTAACGAAGATGCGGCATACATGTCGTCATAGTTTTTATCATCAGATATTAGTTTTAGCTCGTCAACGTCTCGTCTTCGTCACAGAAAAAATGTTCGTTAACGAATATTTTTCGTCGTCGTCTTCGTTAACGAAATTAACACTGCTTTGTTTAACATTAAACCCTCAAAATTCATGTGCACTGATTGATGTTTACAGTCCTGCAGAAATATCGCTTTCCATGGTACTGAATCCATCAGATTATTGATAAGTACTCAGAAAGCATGACAGCAAACAGGATGTTGATTTTGGGTGAACACTTCAAAAACTAGTGGCAAAACTTTCTTCAAGATGGTTTATAAAGAATTTGTGCCTCACATATATATTAAATTTGTACCATCACTGTTTTTTATGGGTTTCTTCAATGACATATCCACTTCAATAGCTTTTGAAAGAAGGGACCTAGTGCTCCGGTTGAAGTTCCAAAATATTAATCTGACCCTAAATAACATACTTCAAGTCTTTAATGTAGAAGAATTTAGTGTAGCTGTTCAAAAAGTACCATCACTGTATTCTATGTGTTTCTGCATTGACACACATTCCAGTTCAATAGCTTTTGAAAAGAGGGTCACACAGCTCCAAAACAAGTTGCAAAATGTTTATTTGACCCTAAAGAACATACTACAAGTCTTTAATGTGCAATTATTTGCTCTATATGTTTAATTTGTACCATCACTGTATTTTATGGGGTTCTTCAAAGGCACACCATCGAGTTCAATAGCTTTTGAAAAGAGGGTCACATCGCTCCAAAGCAAGTAGCAAAATGTTTATTTGACCCTAAAGAACATACTACAGGTCTTTAATGTGCAATTATTTGCTCTATATGTTTAATTTGTACCATCATTGTTTTCCATGGGGTTCATCATTGAGACACCTTCCAGTTCAATAGCTTTTGAAGAAAGACACTGACTTACCCAGTACACATTGTAAAATATTCATTTTACATTAAATAACACACTACAACTTTTCAATGTACTATTATTTGCTTTATATAATCAATTACTTCTCCCAATTTGTTGCATTGGTTTCTTCATTGTCACACTACACGGTTCAATATGTCTAAATTAAACAGACTAATTCTTCTGGGACAAACTGTAAAACGTTTAGCTAAATTGAAAGAACATACTACAACTCTTTAATGTATGAGTTTTTCATGTTCCCTGCAAATTTCCAATGCAATGATTAGGAAAAGAGTAATATTTTTAATATAACGTTAAAAAGTAGGTTATTATCAGTAGAGAGAAAGGAAGACAGAGGAGCCATTGTCTCACATTAGTACAAACACATTTGCTCACGTTTAAACGAAGCTTACAGTTTGCATTCAAAAATGTGCTACCATGATTTGGTGGCCAAAATCAATCAGCTGAGTACCCACATTATCAAGGCTTGCTTAAAAGCTGTGAAAATGCTAGTCTTTCCATTAACAAAAAGGATCTGACGTCAGATCTTTGTGCTGTGGTAGGTAGGCTATACTGAGTTTGTTTTAGGGCAGCTATAAAAAGCACTGCACTTAGCATCTTAGAAAATCTATAAAACTAAATTTTCAATAACATGAAAAATTCAGAACCATGGACAGTGACAATTCTGCAAGACTTTAAATATTAATCAGGGAACATGGATTATGATATTGAGTGAGTTTAATGTTAGATGAATACAGAAAACAACATAAACATAAAACAGAATAATATATCTTTGTTAATTCAACACCTGGACAACAGTGTTGTATACCTCATTATAATGATCACAGCTCTGTATCACACAAAACTACAAAAACAGAGATGAAAAGACAAGAAAACCTGGACTGTAGTTTGTTTTGTAAACTCCTTATAAGGATTTCCAACTTGTTTGAGAGCAGCCGGTCACTCCTTTCAAAACCTATTGAAGTAGATGTGTGATTGAGGAAAAAAAAAAAACTACAACACATGGCTTGTACAAATGGAACATAAAAGGCAAATATACGTACGTGCATTGAAGAGTAGTATGCTCTATGGGGTCAAATAAACAATTTTCCAACTCGTTCTGGAGCACTACGACCCTTCTTTCTAAAGCTACTGAAGTGAATCGTGTCAATGGAGAAACCCATACAAAATGTCAGTAATAGGTATGGAACATATAAAGCAAAAACACGTACAATAAAGATTTGTAGTATGGTCTTTGAGACTAAATAAAGATTTTACCATCTTCCTTGGATGACTTGATCTGTTTTTTCCAGACCTATTGAACCGTGTAAGGTGTCAATGATGAAAACCATTGTAACACATTGGGAGTTTTAATTGAACATATAAAGCAAATAATTGTCCAATGAAGAGTTGTAGTGTAGGTTAAAATAAACATATTCCACCGTGCTCTGTAACAGTCCACAGAGCCTTTTAAAAGCCATTGAACTGAATAATTTGTCATTTAGGAAATCAGTGCAACAGGTTGAAAGTAGTTATTAACCATATAAAGCAAATGATTGCTAAATAAAGACCTGTAGTATGTTCTTTAGGGTCAAATAAACATTGTGCAACTTGTTTTGGAGCGGTGTGACCCTCTTTTCAAAAGCTATTGAACTTGATGATGTGCCATTGAAGAACCCCCATAGAATACAGTGATGGTACAAATTAAACATATAGAGCAAATAATTGCACATTAAAGACTTGTTGTATGTTCTTTAGGGTCAAATAAATATTTTGCAACTTGTTTTGTAGCGGCGTGACCCTCTTTTCAAAAGCTATTGAACTGGATGGTGTGCTATTGAAGAAACCAATTCAACACATTATGAAGTAGTAGAAACTGACCATATAAAGAAAATTACTGCACAATAAAGAGTTGTAGTATGTTTATTAGGGTCAAGTTAAGATTTTCCAATGTGTTCAGGAACAGTCCATCAAGCCTTTTAAAAGCTATTCAACCCGCCCATTTGGAATGATTGGCAGCCACACCAACCAATGACTTGGGTACCTTAAATTCAACTGACCAATCAGCTTCTCAAGGGCAGGAAACCAACGTTTCATAAGGGGTTGCGATCAGTCATGTTTCATAAACAAAACAGAGAACACTGTTTAACTGTCACACTGATTACAGAAGAGTCTCAGCGGCAGAGAGGAGTTTCTGATGTAGCGTTATTCTTTTGAATGAAGAAGTAAGTCTGCGATCTGTTTGCATTGTTTGTAGGCCTACAAGTGAGCTGTAAGCAGACCAGTAGCTGTCCAAGGTGATCAGCAGTGTGACTTATTTGAGCTGTCATGAGTTTCGTCTTGAATTTTGATGTTGGCGTTAACTAATTATGCTTGTCTACAATTAGTCTTATCATGCGGACTTATGTACGTTAATTGTCTGTTTTTCTCTTGGCTTTGCAGTACACACTTTACTCGACACTATGAAGAGACTGTACTTCATCGAGCCGATCGTAGCGATTTACGCGTTTGCCAGTTTTATGGTGTATCCCCTCGTGCAGCAGTACGTGTATCGCAGATTGTGGCTGGAGATCACGAACTCATCTTCCCCCGTGTCCGACAACACTTCCCAGTGCGCCGCCAACAACACCAGCCACAGCAGACAGCAGTTTTTACTCTTTGATGTGCTAAGCTTTTTATTTCATTTGTGAGAGTAATTTTTGTTTGAATAGTTTGATTAGTAGCCTAACTAGTTATCATTGGTGACTAGTGACTACTAGTACTGCAGTGTGCTTACAACAGTGCTTGAAATAAACCTCTACAAATGTATCTGTGGCCTAATAAAATGTATGTAAGTTA